ATGTCTTTCAAAGAACTGCCCTCTCCCAAAGATCCAGGTTCTGCCAAGTGTAAATCCCCCTGCAGTCCAGCAGGGTCAGGAATTATCGTCCACAGTGGTTCATCTTTGCGGTTTCCCCAGCAGACCATCACCAGATATTTTTCTTGGATATGGCCAAAATCCTCTGGGTTGTTGGGAGCATCCCTTGGAGCTGATAGTACCACCAATGTCTCTGTAATTTTCTCTTAAATACTGAATAAGCAACCAGGTGGGATTATTCAAATTTCCCTGAGGGCCTTGTAGGGTAAAGTATTCATTCTCCAAGTCTCCCAGCAAGATACTTTTCCCACAGAGAACATTTTCTTTTTTGGTGGGTAGTGGGAAGAGGAAGAAGTGAAAGGAGGGAATAGTTGGGTAACACCCTAGAAACTGTCTGTTTCCTATCCTCTAGTACACCTTCATTCTCCTTCTAGTGAACTCCTTCCCATCTTCCTGAAAATATGCGGTTTCCCCAATCCCGAAAAGCCTTCCTTTTTCTAGCCCATTCAACTACTACCCCAACTCTTTGCTGCTCTACTACTAAAATTGTTGAAACAATTGTCTATACCTAATGTTTACGTGTCTTCATTAACTACTATCTCCTTTCAATCAAGTTTCTTTTCCCAGGATTCTAATGAAACCATTCTTTCAAAATGATCTCCTAATTGCCAAATCTAATGGCTTTTGTTCAGTCCTCATACTCCTTGACATCTCTACAACTTAAAGCTCTTCCAAACTTGGCCCATCTTACTTTCTGGTCTTATACCTTATCCCTCTCCCTTCACTCTATGGCCCACTTATATTAGCTCACTGTCTGTTATTCACACATGACACTTCACCTTTCATATCTTCATGCATTTGTACTGACTGTAACCCTTTCCTGGAATTTTCTTCCTCCTCATCAGGAAATAAATTAGAAAGTTTTTTTCTCCCAGAAAGTAAAAGAAATGAATCTATCGTGATTTGACAGAATAGGGAAACAACAAGGATGAAACCCAAGTTCAATTAACTTAGTCACATCATTTTCAGCCTTCAAGACTATATTCACAAGACAATTTTACAAGCTGTCAGGATAAAAGCACCACATAACAGAAAGTAATTTTTGAATTGCACAATATTTTTCTATAAAAATAAAAGGCATAAAAAGTTGAAGTATAATAGAATAACTTATTTACCCTGAAATCAACTACCTACCATAATTACGTATACTTTTTGAAGAAAAAATATAGTCTTTCAGAAATTTACAATAATTTGAAAAATGTGTGGATCCCCAAGACAATCTGGAGATTACAATGTGCAAAATCAACAAGGTTTGGGTTGCAATAGATGAGAGGTAGACTGATGTAATAGGGGTGATTTTGCAGTTCTATCAATGTAACCTCAGATCAAGGTCACGCAGCCTTCCACAACGCAAGTTGGGGCCTGCAGCTGTGTGCCAAAGCAAAAAGACCAAATGAACGGCAAGCCTGCAAATCTGTTGCTTAGGACTCTGAGGAAGACCTGGGACCAGCAGCTGTTCAGTGGAGCTAGATCATCAGAGGCTAGCTTGCAGACCCAGAACTGGGGTTGTGAGACTGCAAAGTTCCAACTTGGAGACTGATCTAGTCAATAAACATTTTAAAATTGCCAGCTATATGCCAGTCATTGTGCTAAACCTGGGAATAAAAAGAAAAACAGAAAAAAATCCCTGCTCTCAAGGAGCTCACAGTCTAATGTTGAAGACAACAAATAAAAAGAATCTATCTGATCAAGCCCTACAGTTGACTAATTAGGGCATTGCACATTTTGATTGATCCACTCCTGAGGTGCCTAAAGAACAAATCCTTGGGTATTCAAAGGGAGCACTATCAGAACACCAGATAATACAGATTAGTAAAAAAACAAGGCCCTACCATTCACCCCAGAAATGCACAGTCTGACCCTGTCATGAAATTCTAACTTAGGAACCAAAGCTGGAAAAATGAATAAGCAAAAGAAGATACTAGAAATAAAGAAATGTCATGGATTCAAGAATGTCTAATACACAAAGCAAAGAACGAAACAACCCCACAACATTTACACAAGCAAAGGCTCACAGAATTGCTTGGCAACTATGTCAATTAAAATTACTGGAAGAAATAAAGCAAGAGTTTAAAAAGATACTAAAAATAGCATGAGAGCTCTTGATCAGTGATTCTCAAACTTTTTGGTCTCAGCACTCCTTTATACTGTTGAGGATTCCAAAGAACTTTTGCTTAGGTGTTTCATATCTGCTAATATTTAACATATTAGAAATCAAACTGACAAACTTTTAAAATTTTATTAAATTTAAAATATCAATAATAAACCCCATTATATTAGATATATATAACCATATATATGACTAAAATATGTCACAAAATGAAAAAATTATTGAGAAGAATAACATTATTTTTAAAAATCTAATGTCTGGCTCAATAGAAAAAAACTGGATTCTCCTATCTGCTTCTCAATTCATTCAATTTGTTGCGATATGTTGTTATCGTTGAAGAAAAATGAAGAAAATTTGGCCTTACAAATATGTAGTTGGAAAAGGGAGGAAAATTTTAATAGACCAATAAAATCTTAGTATTAGTATGAAAATAGTATTGATCTCACAGACCCATTGAAAGCATCTCAGAGACCCTCAGGGCTTCTTGGACCATACTTGGAATTACTGAGAAAAAACAATTAGAAAGAAATGAGAATTATAAAGAAAAGACTTAGAAAGAACATAAATAGTTCAGTACAGGAGGTGCTTTCTCCCCTCAAATCCCCAGGTAAAGATTGCTTGTAGGACTGCTGAACGAATATTTTGCATTCACCTGCGGCTTTACTATCTGAGCAACTCAGAGAATTATCATGGAGGTATAGTAAAGTCTGGGTCTCCTGCCTTTTGTGGATTTAGTCCTTTACCTACAATATCTGTTTGTTAGTAGCACTTTTCTACTCAGAGAAACATGCTGTTAGGGAAATCTCTCACTAGGGGGCTGGCGCCTGACTCTTGAACCCAGTACCTCTCCAGCTATGAGGTAACCCAAAGAAGATGGATTAGATTTGAAAGGACAGAATTCTGATCCTAAACGCAGAAAAACCTGGTTTAGAATCATACTTCTGAGACTTACTGAGTTGTTAACAGTTCAGTTGCTTCTGACTCTTCCTGACCCCATTCAGGGTTTTCTTGGTAAAGGTACTGGAGTGGTTTGCTATTTCCTTCTCCAGCTCATTTTATAGATGAGACAAACAGTGTTAAATGATGGTGGCCAGGGTCACACAGCTAGGAAGTGTCTGAGGCCAAATCTGAATTTAGGTCCTCCTGACTGCACAGCTGGCACTCTCTCCACCTGGACACCTAGCTGCCCTGAACCTACCTCAGTTATTTGGAGGTAAATGAGATAATGTGTAGCAAACACTTTGTAAACCTTAAATTGCTACATAAACTTTAAGTTGCGATGATGAATTAATCTACAAACATTTATTTTTTAAAAATTAGGTTATGGATAGAGCACTGGCCCTGGATTCAGGAGGACCTGAGTTCAAATCCGGCCTCAGACATATAACTTACTAGCTGTGTGACCCTGAGCAAGTCACTTAACCCCATTGCCTAGCCAAAAAGAAAAAAAAAAGAAAGAAAGAAAAATTAGGTTAGCTCTGAGGAAACTAGAGGTAACACATGAATGAATGAATGAAAAAAAAGTATTTGTTAAACCTCTTACTAGGTGCCCTGCATTGTTCTAAACGTAGGGAATACAAATACAAACAGAATGAAAGACAGTTCCTATCTTCAAGGAGTTTATATTCTAATGGGGGTAAGACAATTCATAAAAGGAACATGAAAGGGTCATAGGAACATTGAACAGAAAATCTGGAATGGAGCCTGGAGAGGAATGAGACATAGTCTGGGTGCCCTCTTTAAATGGAAGGTCTAGATTAGGAGCTGTCCAAACAGAGCAGGAGGCCACAAGGGTGGCGAGTACTTCCAATGTTTGAATTCTAGGACTGAAGTGAGCTTCCCAGATAAAGAGGTTTCCATGAGAAAGTCCAGAGTGCATCCTGAAGAGGAATAAGAGATACCAGAAAGAAGTTCTTGCCTTAAGAAGTTTACATTCTAATTGAGGCAAACAACTCAAGTTTGAGAGTGGTGACTGGGGAGTGGTGTGCTTTGGTTTGGAAAGTTACTAGGATGATGAGTAGAACCATAGAGGATTGGGACACACTTTCCAGGAAGGACAGTAGTATTGATTTCATTACACTTTCAAAATGCGTCTAGGGAGGCAGGATCAAGAGAAGCAAGTCAATTAAATCCAACAAGCATTTATTAAGCACCTACTATACACAGAGCATTACGCCAATTGTACACAGTCCCCGCCTTTGAGGAGCCCACACTCCCTTGAAGCCCTTGGGGGCTCGGGGTGCACCGACTGGCCCCTCTGCGGTTCGTCCGGTCCAAGAGACCCCAGCCGTGGTGTGATTTACTCGGCCACGGCAATTCAATTCAACAAGTACTTATTAAGCAGCGGCTCGGCGCCAGGGACTACGCACACAGACACAAAAAAGAACGGGTTCCTGCCTTGGAAGAACTGACCTCGTCCTTCGGGGAAGGACTGGACACCCATCGGACCCAGGCCGTCCCAGCGGCCAGCGCGGCTCCCCTCGCCCCCACCCCTACCCCCTTGGAAGGCTCGGACCCGGCGCGCGGCCGGTCGTCTTCCCCTGAGCTCTTTGAGGGCTGGGACGGTGTTTTTGCCTTTCTTTGTGTCTCCAGCGCTTGGTACAGTGCCTGGCACATAGTAGGCGCTTCATGAATTTTTGTGATTAATTACTAGACGAACCGAGCTATTGCTTGACAGGCCGGCAGTGACCCGGAAGGCTTCCCTCGCCCGGCTTACGTCACTCGTACGGGACTGTGGCAGCTCTCTTGGAGCCTGGCTAGTCCTCGGATCCGGAAGGCTCTAACCCCGCCCACATGACGTCAGTAACCTGTGATCGCACCGGCTGTGACCGAAACCATGCTTCTGCCTGCTGGGCAGTGCAGCTCGTCGGTGCTGCAGTTGCTACGGAGGAGTGGGCTCGGACTTGGCCACTGCCAGCACGGGAAGCTTCCGGGCTGCCTGCCAGTTCGACTGAGGCGAAGCCCTCGCTGCCTTTCAGGAGGGACTGGACCGCGGCCCTGCGCCTCCTTTCCCAGAGGCCCTGGGGATTTGGGTGGGGGGAGCGGGGCTTGGGGGAAAGATGAGGAGCCCCTCGATGCTTCTGTTCCCCCGCAAGGTGACGACGCACCCTGGTCGCAGCCTTCCTTGGGCGCCCAGACCGCCCGATCTTTTTCTTCTTTGGAGAAGCCCACGCGAATATTTCCAGAGGAGATGCAGCCTCCCGAGATCGAGTACGTGGCCACTGGCCATGAAGAGTGCAGCGATGAAAGCGAGGCGGCCTCCCCACCCCCACTGCGGACCCCAGCACTGTGCTGTGAAGCCCAGCCCGCGCCGGCTAAAGAGTTGCCTGCCCACTCGGTCGGGTCCAGTCCGAGGGAGCTCCCCTTCCAGCCCGGTGACCTTCTTTACGCCGAATTCCAAAAAGGCGAAAATATATTTAAAAGATTGTTTAAGTTGGAGGCTGCAGGACAATTAAGCAGTAACTGGGGAGCAATTCCATACAAAGAAATGATTGGAAAGTTACCTGGTCAGTTACTTAGGAGTTCCATTGGTCACCACTTTATGCTGAGAAGACCAGCATTGGAGGAGTTTGTTTTATTGATGAAAAGAGGGCCTACCATATCATATCCAAAGGTAATGCCCGTTATTTAGGTAACCACCAATTCCTGAAACGGCACGCATATGGTGGTCTAATGTATGTGAACTTTACAATTTCAGCCCTGGTGAAAATATTTACTCCTGTATTCTCAGTTGTATTTAAAATGTATTTGTGCCCTTTAAAAATGATAATTTTGGAGGCTCAGGTTACTTTTTTTGGGCAGGATCTGCTTACCACAGGCTTGATTTTATTTTATCTGCTGCAACACTCAGGAAGATATCAAGGTGTGGAGGAGATCTTCATTGCTAGGGAGTATCCACATGAATAAACTCACAGTTCTTTGAAGTGTTGAAGTGTGTGTGTGTGTGAACCTTAAGAAATACCTATTCTTGAGGGTCAGAAAGATGAAGAACCAGCAGACAGAAGAGTGATTAGAAGCAGTGTGTAGATCCAGGAGAAACTATCTCTAAAGCTAAGAAGGGAGAGAATATTCAGAAGGAGAAGAGGGGGTGGTCATTAGTGTCAAATGCTTTAGCAAGATCAAGGAGGATGTGGACTATAAAAAGGGCCTTTGGATGTGGCAGATAGGATGCCACTGGGAATTCTGAGAGCAATTTTAGTAGATTAGTGGATATTGAGACCAGATTGAAAAAGTTTGAGGAGCAGTGTGGGTGATAAGGCAGTAAAAACTTTGGGTATGAGTAGCTTTCAAGAAACTTGGCATTAAGGGGCAACTAGGTGGAGTGGATATAGCACCGGCCCTGGATTCAGGAGGACCTGAGTTCAAATGCGGCCTCAGACACATAACACTTACTAGCAGTGTGACCTTGGGCAAGTCACTTAACCCCATTGCCTAACCAAAAAAAACAAAAAAGAAAAGAAATTTGGCATTAAAGGGGAGGTTCAGTTTCTAAAAATAGATTTAAAGTGGTTTCATGACATACTTATGAAAAGCCAACACTAGTTTATTAATGGCCTTAATTTTGGAAAAAACTAAGAGACAATTGTTCTCTTAGAATCTTTGATTTCACCATTGCCAAGAGGTCATTCTACTAAAATAGCTAAGTCTTAGAGTGTTACTTGAAGAACATAAAGGTTAAATTATTTACTGAGGCTCACATAGCTAATATGTCAAGGCGTATTTGAACTTAGGTTTTCCTGACTCCAAGTCTAGTACTCTAACCACTATCTAGTGTTTTCTCTATTGTTTCCAATTTATCCTGTATATATCTTGTTTGTACATAGTTGTTTGCATGTTGTCTCCCCTATTAGAGTGTGACCTCCTTGAGAGCAGGGACTGTCTTTTGCCTTCCTTTGTATTCCCAGTACTTAGCACAGTGCACGTAGTAGGTAATTAATAGAAGTTTACTGATAAGCAACTGTTTCTTTGTAAGTATAAGAAAGTAAGTAGCAGACAATAAAGGAGTTCTGAGGAGGGATTGAACCTGTGGCCTAGAATGTGGTTTTTATTAAGCCATTTGGTTCCTATTTTTATTCAAATTCATTTTTAAATGCTCAATTTTCATTCATTTCTTTACCTGGTTTTATTTAGTCCCTAGAGTGTGTAAGTATACAGTCTCTCTCCTTGGGCAGCGTATAAGTATGGGAAATAGACAGATACACAAATGACTAATATAAAAGTCTGTCAGTCATTAGAGAGATAAAATGTAGACTAGTTGTGAGTGAAGATATCCTGGAGGTCATTTTATTTGAGCTGGGCTTTGCAAGGATAGGTAGAATTTTGATAGCTAGAATTAGGAGTGGAAGATATTCCACCCATAACGAACAGAATGACCAAGTCTAACACTACTTGTAATACAGTGGATGAAGACATATAGTTCATTTTCTTTCTTCTCTCATCAATAGCCATCATCTGGAAGGGTAATCGTAGAAATTGAACGCTAGACTAAGAAGTTTGGATTTTAGTCATTAAGTGGATTGGAGTAACTTGATCAGAGCTGTGCTTTAAGAAGATCACAAAGGTCTAATAGTAGCCCTGGAGGATGGATCAGAGGGAAAGTTTGAAGGTAGAGAAACAAGTTAGGAGACTGTTATAGCAGTGCAGGCTCAAGAGATGAGGACATGATTTAAGGTGATAGGAGTAGGAATGGAAAGGAGAGGTAAGAATTGGTATGAAGACAATTGACAGGTCTTGAATGATTGGAAAAGAGAAGAATAAAAGATAACTGAGCTTTTGAATCTAGATTACTAGTGAATTGGTGGGGTCAATAGCAAATAGTAAAGGATGAAGAGCCAGTTTGGAGAGTAATATATGGAATTAGGTTTTAGACATGTTCAGTTTGAGGTGCTGCTAGTTGGACATTCATGTGGAAACACGTGTCAGATACCTGGAAAGAAAGGATTGCAGTTTAAGAGAGATGCCGAGGCTAGGAAGTAAAACTGGAAATTCTCAGGTGATAGTTGAAGCTTTTGGAAATGTTTCAGATCTACAGGGGAAATATGTAGAGAAAGGAGATAGTCTGGGACAGAACTTTGGAGAGAATCCTTAAAGATTGTCAAAAAGACAAAAAGGAGGAGTTAGAAGTTGCAGGAGGACCAAGATTTGTGCAGTGCTTTGTAAGACAAGGGAGAAATGCTTGACAAGGTCATATGCTACAGAGGCTGAGGATTAACACTGAGAAAAGATCATTAGATTTGGTTATTAAGAGGTCTCTGGTTTCCTTTAATTGAAGATTTTAAATTATATTATCTGTAATGTAAGCTCCTTGTGAACATATTTCCTTTGTTTTCTCCTTATCCTTTATGCCTAGTATAGTGCTCAAGTACTTGATTATATAGATAACTCTAAATTATCAATTTTTTTCATAGGATATGAATATGATGTTGATGATGATGAATGTCAAACAAGGCGATGTCATTTTGGATGTTGGCTCAGGTTCTGGCGGAATGAGTTTGTTTTTATCACAAGCCGGTAAGAAATTGTGATTAGACTGAATTTAGACAACAGAGGAAAAAATTTTATTTTGTATAATATGGCAAGAACTTAAAACAGCAATAAACATGTGGCTATGACAACAGACTGGATATGCAAGGAGTGAGGTGTTGAGGATGATGAGATTTTGAAGGTAGAATGGACTGAATAGTGGTATCCTTGACAGTAATAAAGTTGGAGAAAGAGGAGGGTTTGGGGAGAAAGATAAGCTCTATTATGTATCTCTACGAATACTATCTCAGGAAAAGTCTAGCAGTTCTTTGCTTAACTCCATCTTCCACAGCCTCCTTGCAAACAGTGGCACTTGTATTCTTCCCCCATCTCTTCCAGTTCTGGAACCCTGAACCAAGATCCAATCAATTGTCATGTTACTAGATAGGGTGTGTCAATCTTTCCCCTGTAGCCTCACTTACTATCCCTATAACTTTCCATGGTGAAAGCCCACCTCTCCCCTGTCCCTTATTCCCTTGGAGCAGGGACAGTCTTATGTATTTATGTCCCTAGGTGTTAGCACAGTGATTGCACTGGTAAGCAAGCACTTAATGATTTCTCATCTGTTTATTAATGTGACCGACATATAAACAAATTTCTCTAAATCAGGTGGGAACCATTCTTTATATCTTCTCTCTTAAACCTTCATCCAATTTTCTATCGCTTCTCTAACAGTTCCTCTTCTTTCTGCCCTTATGCCTCAACCATTTGTCTTCTGTATCCAAACTTCTATTCACCATTCATAGGATAATTACATTTAAAGCTGAAAGGGGCCTCAGACGTCATCATTTTACCCTGTTATTGTAAAGATGAGGAAACTAAGGCCTAGAGAAATTAAGTTACCTGCCTAAGGTCACATAGTAGTTTGTGGTAAAGCTGTGATTAAATTCAATCAAATGCTTTTATGTCCAAATCCAAGTCTTTCTCTGTACCACCAAATGGCATAGTGCAAGTCACTTCAAATGTTTTTTTGTGTATTTCCTAGTTAAGACATTCTAAACAATAGTGTGTCATTCTTTTGAATTGAAATTATAAAAGTAATGTAGTCACAAGAATGGCAGCATAGAATGGGGGATGCAGAGCTGACCTCAGAGTCCAGAAGATCTGGGTTCAAGCATTGCTTCTAACATAAGTGACTCTGAATAAATAAATTGATCTCTCAGTGCCCCAGGCAACTTTCTAAGACTAAAAATTCTTTAGAAGATGTGGATCTGCATTTGTAGATGGAGTTTCCTCACTGGAAGTTCCCTATGCTAATAAAATCATAGCTCTGGTACAACAAAAAAAGTAATCACAATAGATTACTTTGGATAGTAGAAAAGCCACTCTTTAGATTGCTCAGTCTATAAATAGTTTTACCACAGAAGTATGGATTTTTAACCAATCTGAAATTTGGTTAGCTGTATTTGATCATTGGTTGTAGTTCTAAGTAAATTAAGTTGATTCAGTTTGGTACCTAATGGACTAAAGATGTGATGACATTCTTACGAAAGTATATATTTGTTAGGTTTGTTTTAAATGATTTGTAGTTTCTCCTCCGTCATTTAGCTATAACATGGCTTAAAATGGTCCATGATAATTCTTATTGTCAGATTTAATATAGGGTATGGGGCAGCTAGGTAACAGTGAATAGAGCACTGGGTCTGGAGTTCAGAAAGCACAGAGTTCAAATCTGATCTCAGACACTAACTAGCTTTGTGACCCTAGGCAAGCCACTTAATCCCTGCCTACATTAAGATGGAGAAGGAAATGGCAAATCACTCAAGTAGCTTTGCCGAGAAAATTCCAAATAAGGTAATGAAGATTTGGACATGACTGAACAACAGTGGGATTAATAGCTATGAGACTAAACTTAGCTTTTTGCGTCTTGATTAGCTGCTGTTTTCCTTTGATATTCTGTTCTATACACTAAGTCACTATTAAGCCCTTCAAATCTCGTTTGATTCAGTCTTTTTGTGAAGTTAAATAAATGAATAAGCATTATTCATTATTCATTATTAAGCATTTACTATGTGGTAAGCTCTGGAGATAGAAATACAAAAGGAATAAGTCCTTGCTTTCAAGGAACTTATATTCTTATGGGTGAAATAACACATTTAGGGGAGTGGTATTTTGTTTTGGAAAGTTACTGGGATGAAGAGTGGAGCCACTGGTAAGTAGATTAAAATAACCTTTCCAATAACAATGGCAGTATCAATTTGATTATGGTTCCAGAACTGGAAAGTAGAAATCTAACGAGAGGTTAGCTTGCAGATGTGTCATTGAGACCCACAATTGGGTTTACAAGCCTGCAAAGCTCAGACCTGGAAGCAGTGATAAGTCAGTCATTAAATATTTATTCATCGCCTACTATATGCCAGGCACTGTGCTAAGTGCTGGGGATACAAAGAAATGTTAAAAAACAGTCCCTGCTCCTAAGGAGCTCACAGTCTAATTGGGCAGACAACATGCAAACCACTATGTACAAACAAGCTATATACAGGATAAACTGGAAATAATCAAAAGAGGGAAGGTGCTAACATTAAGAAGAGGCATTGGGGAAAAACTTCCTGTAGAAGGTGGGAGGCTTCTTTCTTTTGTTTTTAAAAAACTAACGCCATTACAAAATTATGAAATATTATTACTATTGTTCAATGTTATTCCCTCAATTATTTTAGTTGGATCACAGGGACGAGTTAAAAGTTTTGAAATTAGAAAAGACCACCACAACCAGGCTAAGAAGAACTACAAGTGCTGGCGTGATGCATGGAAGATTAGTCATGTAGAAGAATGGCCAGATAACGTGGATTTCATTCATAAGGATATTTTAAAAGCTGCTGAAGACATAGAATCCATAACATTTGATGGGGTAAATCGTCTAAAAGTGTGTTGTAGAACCCTAGGTACTCAGACTACACTAGGTACTCTGACTACATGTATTCAAGGTTGGATTGGACCATTAAGAAGGGTGTATATACTTCATGGTCCCTCTTTAAATGATATAAGGTCCTGTTGTATCAACTCAGTTTTTTCACTTATGGCTTCAGACTGTGTGACCCTGGGCGAGTCACATAACCCCAATTGCCTGAAAAAAAGAAAGACATTGATAAGCTGGAGAGTCCAGAAAAGAGCAACAAAAATGGTGAAGGACTTTGAGATTATTTCACGTGGAGATTGTTTGAGGGACCTGCACACAGTCTAGAGAAGTCTCAGAGGAACATGATAGCTGTCTTTAAGTATCTGATGGACTACCATATTAATTTTCTATTTGGCTTGTTCAAATTTGTCATAAAAAACAGTAGCAGGAACAATGGGTAGAAGTTGCAAAGAGATAAATTTAGGCTTAATAATAGGAAAAATTTTCTTATACTTAGGGCTACCTAGAAGTACACTAGCTGCTTTGGGAAGTGTTGACTGCCCTTATTGGAGGTCTTCAGGCAAAGATTAGATGAGCACTTATGGGGTACATTATAGTAAGGATAGTTAGGATAGTTATATTAAGGTAGTAGGATATTTTCCTGCCATGCAAACATGATATCCAAAAGGAATATTGTATCATTCAAATTACTACCTACCAGACCATAAGCCTTCTAACTTGGATTTTGAAATTTCTCTTTTCCTTGAGGACAATGGCTATTTCATTTTTGGCTTTGTATCCCCCACACTTAGCCTAACACATTGTAGAGTAGGTACTTAATAACTGTTTGTTGAACTGTATTTTTTCCCATACTTAACATACTTTGTTTCTTCTGTTGACACATTTTAACTAGGTAGGAGCTCTTTATGCAGAATGATTGGGGAATATTTTCTAGCTTATTGAATATTCTGGTTGATTAAGTTTTCATATTGCACATGTCAAGTTATCAAAGACTGGAATATCCTTTTAACATTGACAGTATACTGGACATAATTTAATAGGCCTTCAATAAAAGTTTTAAGTGGACTGCAGACTCTATATGAGTCAGCATTGTGATGTGACAACTAGATAAGTTAATGAGATAGTGGGTTGCATTAATCAAGGCATAGCTTCCAGGAACAAGGAAGTGGTAATCCTCCTGTACTCTACCCTGGTCAAACCAAATCTGAAATACTGTGTCCTGGGTACCACAGTTTTAAGAGAAACATTGGGATAGAACACCAGTTCAAATCTGGCTTCAGACTGTGTGACCCTGGGCAAGTCACATAACCCCAATTGCCTGAAAAAAAGAAAGACATTGATAAGCTGGAGAGTCCAGAAAAGAGCAACAAAAATGGTGAAGGACTTTGAGATTATTTCACGTGGAGATTGTTTGAGGGACCTGCACACAGTCTAGAGAAGTCTCAGAGGAACATGATAGCTGTCTTTAAGTATCTGATGGACTACCATATTAATTTTCTATTTGGCTTGTTCAAATTTGTCATAAAAAACAGTAGCAGGAACAATGGGTAGAAGTTGCAAAGAGATAAATTTAGGCTTAATAATAGGAAAAATTTTCTTATACTTAAGGCTACCTAGAAGTACACTAGCTGCTTTGGGAAGTGTTGACTGCCCTTATTGGAGGTCTTCAGGCAAAGATTAGATGAGCACTTATGGGGTACATTATAGTAAGGATCCCTTTTTTTTTTTTTTTTGGTTGGGCAATGGGGGTTAAGTGACTTGCCCAGGGTCATACAGCTAGTAAGTGTTATGTGTCTGAGGTCAAATTTGAACTCAGGTCCTCCTGAATCCAGGTGCTGTATCTACTGCGCCACCTAGTTGCTCCAAGCACTGGACTTAATGGTCTCTGAGATTCCTTCTAGTTTTAAAAAACTGATACAAAAGATATTTCAGGATCTTTGAGTACCTTAGAGTCATCATAATGAACATCTTTGCTAATTATGCTGGTGAAGCATGGAGGTGCTAATTCATGGAGATTTTCAGTTAATAAAATGCTAGATAAATCAGTGTTCGTACACATGTATATGAACAACTCTGTTTGCAGACAAAACTTGAGCTAATTATTTGTAGAATACTTTGTTTTACAAAGCACTTTCTTCACAACAACTGTATAAGTAATACCAAAAATTATCTCAATTTTACAGATAAGGAAACAGATTCTTTTTGCTGGGCATACTAACCAGTCTCTAAGAAGAACTTCTCTCATCTGTTCACATGAGAGCGAAAGTTTGACTTGCCCAGACTCACAAAATTTAGTATTGTGGCAGGTCTTGAACCCAATTCATTTTGATATAATGACCAAGGTTACAATTCAGTTTTTAAAAATTATAGAAAAAAAGCATGCATCACTCATTAATTTGTTAACAATTTTCTGTTACTCAAATTCAGCTCTTATCAGAAACATAGATTGATTTGGATAGACTTCAGAAGTTATCCACTCTAACCCCTTCATTTTGTAGATTAGGAAACTGAGCCTTCAGAAAGATAAAGTGATTTTCTCAGAGTTGTAGTCCAAAGTAGAAGAGCTAGGTTTTGAAGGTCTTCTGACTCCAAGTCCAGCATTCTTTTCACTGAACTATGTCCTTGTTTTCAGCTAAAGACTATGAATCAGTTAATGTTCATCAATGATTAGCCAACAATGCTACCATTAGACCAGGTTGGCTATTTTCAATTCAATATTTTGCTTATTTGGTTACTATCATATCATCAAAAATATAATGTAGATTGTGTTTTTTTCTAAAAACAAATCACCTTAGTATAAAGTATCACTCAATAAACATTTAATATGTAAGTAGCTTCAAATTGTTAGGAGTCATCAATAAATTTTTTTTGTTTTTGCCATTGACTATTTTTATTTGTAGTGAATTTTATATTCAAAATCATTCCTCTAAGAAGAATTTGTTTAGTACCATCTTTGTGACTAGAACAGTATTGGGCACTGTGAGGAATATAAAAGAAATCAATTACAAACTTTCGTTAGGGATACTTTCTACAAACTTACAGGTGCCACTTCCCCCCTCTCTTTAAAAGTAAAGAACTAAAGATATGAAATGTTGCATACATGGTAGATTTGTTTACTTAACAGTTTACTTAACTGTTTTTCTTTGTTTACCAGGAAAGGTTCAATGATGGTGGTCATAAATGGTGATGAAGCATGTCAGGAAATGAGGACTTGACTGATTTTAAAAACAAGCATATTAATAAAACATTTAAATAATAAATTCACAGGGCTATTATCCCCCACCTCAGACTTGTGATTTTTCTTCAGTATGATAAATTAAAACAGACTTTAAATAATGTTAATTTTTATTGTTAAAAAGTTTAAATGAAACGTGTAAATTTTTAAAAAGAAGTTCAAAGAAAAATGCAAAATTACCACATCTAAGACATGTCATTCTGTTTTTATTTTCAAAATATAGAAGTGCTGACAATTATAGATCACCAGACAGGTATATCAATAACAATCATACAACAGTTGTCAATACTACATTCTAATAAAAAACATTCTTAAATGTATGAAATAGATTTCCAAAAGTAAACTGCCTCTTCTCTATTTCTCTAACATCCCCACCCCCAGATTTGTGCCTTTACTTAATAAAATTCAGTGCATCTTTTCTTTCCTTTACAGGTGGCTTTGGATATGCTAAATCCTCAAATTGCTTTGCCTATTGTATATCCAAATCTTAAGCAAGGTGGCATATGTGCAGTATATCTAGCAAAGTGAGTATGCACCATCATATTAACTACATTTTGATTTCACTGAACATCAGACTGGAATAATGTTTAGTTGTACTTTGTGGAAACAAATATCATACAGTAAAACCCCATCATAAAGTACCATACTTATCTGCAGATTGTTATATAAATCACATCTCTTATATACACTTTCATATATGTCAGGTCTCTCTTCCATTAACATGGAAAGCTATAATGTAGATGTCATGCTAATACCAGGATCTAAATGAGGTTCTTGCTTGCTCTCAAGGTTCTTGCAGAATACAGTAGCTTTTTTTTACAAATTGTTTTTAAGCTTGACTCAGTGCTATATTTTGGTTACGATTGGTGGTATAACAGACATATTTTTAAAATATGTAGTGGTCTTATTAAGATTTCAATATATATTTTGCTTTTCTCTGAAAGTATCACACAGGTAATTGAACTTTTAGAAGGAATACGTATCTGCAAACTTTCGCTCTCATGTGAACAGATAAGAGAAGTTCTTCTTAGAGACTGGTTAGTATGCCCAGCAAAAAGAAAAGATGGCACTTTAGCCCAAAGAGTAGAGCCTAAAACCAGTATGGATTTAAAGTTATATTCTCAAAGGGATTTTGAAACTGAAGAAAATGAAAATGTACAAGAGAATGATTATGGTAAGCATGACTGCTGTGGTATGAAAATATTTTGCAGTAGTAAATGGACTCTGGGTTTCTGAGTATTCAGTGAATATCATTTGAGACATTTAATACTTCACTACTTTTAGGTAGTGAAATATGGTACTTATTCATGTCAAGTTAATTTAGAATCTCCTGAATACATGAAGCTCTTATTTTCCAGGGAGTGACTCCTAACTTTTTCCTGACTCTCAGTGACCTCTGTTGCTCTTTGGAGGTGTTGAGTTTCTTAGTGTATACAATATTTTTAAATGATCTCTATAAGGTTTGTAGAAGATGCTGTGCACATTAATATCTATTAAAAAAAAGCTCCCAATATCAGTAGTTTTGATGAATGAAAAGTATTCATATTTAAATAGTAGGGCTTTATGTGCAAATAGTTTTTTTTTAAATGTATCTTATAAAGAAAACATCTGGAGGCACAAAGGACTTAACAAACATGAATAAATAGAGAATGGAAGTTGTGCAGAAGAGGATATTTTATAATTTCTAAAGTGATCACCTAATATAGAGAGCTGTTTTGAGAAGTTTGAAAGAAGTAAAGTCAGAAAAACCTGTGGTATGTATGTGTTGCTTAACTCTTAATCCCATAAATTAGTTTCTAAACCTTGATCACTGATTGTATAAACACCTTACAAACATAGACAAGGTGATGCTGTGATCAGTTTATTTTTTTAAGACAACAGAGATCCAGAGATGAAAGTTAAATATAAGAAGTTAACTTACTCAGAGAAAATATTGTATTAGCCAGAGATGGGGAATAAAAAGCACAACAAAGGAGAAGCAATGTTAAGTTATGTTAATAGTTCTTATATCAAGTTTTAGAGATTTTTATGTAGTTTATAATATAAATAATAACATATGTATATATTTGTTTGTTTGAATCCAGGTGAATCACTTTCTGGTTTTCCATATAGCTCAATTCCCTACATTGCTAGACCCTTTCATTGTCAAGCTAATCATACAGGTAAGTAATACTCCGCAAATAATTTTTATGCTAGATAAAATGTCGAATATTTTAAACCACATTTATAATTTAACATTTTAAACTCAGTTATCCATGTAAAGTGAATTCTATGTCATTTTAATGACACTGCTTTTTTCTTTTAAATTAGCTTTTCTTGTCAAATTGAGGAAGTTCAACCCAGAACATTAACCGAGTAATCCAGATAACTGACTACAACTAATTTCAAGATTGCAAAGTACCAAGATAAACTTAATATTGTAAATGATTACTTTTATAGATTTGTTGTTTTATCTTTGTTATTACTTTGATTTACAAATCTTTATTACATATGAATTTTAAAATATAGCTAAATGAACAGGCAACTGTGCAACTGTTAAAAAACAAACCATATGTTACCTCATTTCGACACTTATCTTGGAAATTATATTCAGACATTTTGTATTTAATGATTCCACGTTGGTTTAGTTGAGCCATTTCATTCTTCATTTCCTGTAAACCACTCCATAGATTTATCTCGCTTCATGCAACTAGTTTTCCTTCCCTTTTTTGATATGTTATCAGTGGCTATTAAAAGTTAAAAAAAGGTATTAAGACATGGAAAGTTAGGTTTTTTAAAAGTATACATTCAGATGGTTCTAAGCATATTTGGAAAAAACAAAACCTTTGGGTTTCAGTGAATGTAATTTATTCAGGCTAATAAAAAGATTCAAAACAATTATTAATTTTCACCAAAATAAAAACATTTTGGTTAAGTCAAAAATCTTTTCAATAAACAACATTAGAAATTTTCATGTTTCCTTTTGTTTTTTAAAGGCGTAATGTTGTTTTAATCATCTTGCCAAAATGTCAATTATATTGACATTAAAAGTGCTGTTATGCCTCTATTTCTACAGTATATTGGTGGACCCTCTGCTAACAGACATAGATGAAAATTGCACAGGATAAAGACTGTTGGACTGTTAGGCTGCAAAGATGGAAGATATACACATACTAATGAAATCACAGATTTCTAACTAAATGAGATACAAGATAATTGTACATCTTTTAGAATAATTTTAGATTTAGAATTCATATTATTTGTAGTATTTAGTTGTCTATTTTTTGCATGGAGTACTTTCTGCATAAAGAAGGCTATTATCTATGTTAATTAAGTCCTCAGGCTAAATCTTGGTATAAATTGGGAGAGATTAAATCTGCTCACACAAATACTAGCTGTGTGACCCTGGGCCAGTCACTTAACCCCATTTGCCTCAGTTTCCTCATCTGTAAAATGGGCTGGAGAAGGAAATGGCAAACCACTCTTTGCCCAGAAAACCTCAAATGTGGTCATGAAGTGTTGAACATGGCTGAAATGACTGAAAAACAACAAAATTTGGGGGGCTCCTTTCTTAAGCTTTTCAGGGTATATAAAAATTTACTACATACTAAGTCTAGGACTAAATAATTTATATCTTTAAATCATACCTTGGGAATAACAGTAAGATTGAGGTGGTTCAAGTGGTAAGTGCACTGAGAATGAATTATATGATTCCCGAGATGAGTATTTCTCCATCATTTCTAATGTGCCACTGGATGAAGAGGATGATGATGAAGATAATCCCAGTCCTACAAATCTTCCTTTTTTACCACAAAGTGAACAATCTACTGGTGTGGCACTAGGTCCTCGGGGCAGCTGAACTTCATCTCTGTTGTAGTTTCTGACAGCCCCACTGTGGTGCATGGACCGTTCTCGCTGCCATATATAATGCGTTGGAGCAATAGCCATAACCTATGATGGAAAACTTTCATTTATAATTTTACTGTCTTAAAAATTAACTACTATACAATTATAACTTAAATACATCTTATTCTATTACTTTATTTATAAGTCGCTATCTTCCTAAGGCATTACTTGCCATCTAGTAGAACTGAGTCACTGTCACTTATATTCTCTATAAATTGTCCATGGGGATTCCACCTAACATTCAAGGGACTTTCCTCTAAAGTTAATGTCTTCACATGGATACCAGGGAAGAACACAGATCATTCAGACCATTCGTCAGTCATTCTTAACTTTTACTACATGACCAACCCATCTTCTTTTACAATCATAAATTTCTGATGATACTCAAGAGATGGAATGGCATACAGGATCTAAAATATATTAGGAACATAGTTATAAGACCTAACAGCTAATGTGACAATGGCCAAAAACATGAAGGGATAATTTCTGAAGAACATACAAACTATTTACCACATGAAAAGATGCCCCATGTCCCTGATAGGCAGTATAAATCAAAACTACTTTAAGATACCACCTTGAAGCCACTAGAATGGCAAAAATAGCAAAACATCATCAAATTTAATGTTGATTGAGCTACAAGAAAACAGGTACTCTAATATATTTTTTGTGTAACTAGTCTGGTATAAATAGCAATATCACAGTAAGAGTTAAAAAACTGATCCTACCTTGACCCAAAAAGTCTGTTGCTAGGACTATATATCCAAAATATATTATAAAAAAAGAAAATGAGAGCTTATCTTTATAAAAATATTCACATCTGCCTTATTTATCTTTTTTAAAACTATATCCAGTGATTAAAGAATGGTTTAAAAATGACATGTTAATAGAAAATTAAGGCACTCCACTCCATTCTCCACACAGATGAACAAAAAAAAAATCTTCCTAAGGGATAGGACATTCCTAGGCTTGAAAATATTTAGTGGCTCCTTATTCATTTTAGGAAAAACACAAAGTCATCCTGGGTTTCAAAGCCCTCCACAATCCCCAATTCTAGCCCAAAAGACATACTAGCTGTCTCCTCAACTCTTGCCTATTTTCACCCCAAACTATCTCCCATGCCTGAAATACCCCTCCCACTTTACTTTGGCCTCCAAGGATTTTCCCTTCCCTGCAAGGTTAAGCTTTTCCAACACCGCTTAAACTAACTGATGTGCTTTCTCTTCTCAAAATACTTTGCTTTTGCCCATCTATACATATCATTTCCCAACAGAATTCCATACACTTGAAGGTAAAGCCTGTTTCCCTTTTATGCATAGCATAATGCTTGGAACATATTAGGTACTTAATAAAAATGCTTACTGAAATGGGTTGGATAAATATGAAGAATGTATGTAAACGTAAACACCTATGGGAAATGATACAAAGTAAGATTAGCAGAATCAGAACTGTATACGTATTGACAACTAAGGTCTATAGGTGGGCCAAGACAACGTAATAAAAATAACATTACTGCCTAGATCAGTTTACTTATTCCATGCCATCCCAATCAAGCTACCAAAGGATTACTTTATAGAGCTAGAAAACAAACAAAATTCATTTGGAAAAACAAAAAGTTAATTATCTCAAAGGAAATAATGAAAAAAGTAGGAAAGGGGCCTAAACCAGATCTCAAATTCCACAACAAAGTAGCAATCATCAAAAAAATTTGGTACTGGTTAAGAAATAGTGAGGTAAGTCAGTGGAACAGACTAAACACATAGTCTATGGACGCAGATGAGCGCAGTAGTCTGGATCCCAGCTATTAGGCAATAAGTCATTATTTAACAAAAACTCTTGGGAAAACTGGAAAACAGAATAGAAGAAATTAGGTACAGACCAACATTCACACCATATAACAAGGTAAGTTCCAACTACCTATATAACTTAGACATAAGGGATGAAATCAATTAGAGGAGGATAGAATAAATTACCTGTTAGACCTATAGCCAGAGGATAAGTTCATGACTAAACAAAAAGAGAGGTTCACAGGAGTAAAATGGGCAATTTTGATTACATAAAATTAAAAAGTTTTGCCCAAACAAAACCAATGCAGCTAAAATTAGAAGAGAAAGGTAAATGGAAAAACATTGCTACAGCAAGGTTGTCTGATAAAGATCTCATTTCTAAGATCTATAGGAGCTGATTCAAATTTATAAGAATAAAAGCCATTTTCCAATTGATAAATGATCAAAGGATATGGATGGGCAATTTTCAGAAAAAGAAATTCATGCTATCAATAGCCATATGAAAAAATGCTCCAATTCATTGAGAATGCAAATTAAAATAACTTTGAGGTCTTACCTCATACCCACCAATTGGCAAAGTTGACAAAAGGAAAATGACAAATATTGGAGGGACTGTTGGAAAACAGGTGTGTTAATGCACTGTTGGTAGAGCTGTGATTTGGTCCAGCTAGCCAGTTTGTAACTCTGCCCTAAAAGCTATTAAATTATATACAATCTTTGAACCAGCAGTACCATTACTAGAGAGCAAAGAAAGATGAAAAGAACCCCTATGTACAAAAGCATTTATAGTTGCTGTTCGTATGGCGGCAAAGAACTGATGGGATGTTCATCAGTTGGGGAATGGCTGAACGAGTTATGGTATATGAACATGATGGAATGTTATTGTGCTATAAGAAATGATAAAGGGATAGTTTCAGAGAAACCTGGGAAGATTCTTATGAACTGATGCATAGTCAAGTAAACAGAACCAGGAGAACAGTTTATACAATTACAGCAATAATCCAATAACAAACAGCTTTGAAATACTTACAAATACAATAACCAACCATGATTAAACAAAGACTGATAAAAACATGTCTGGGGCGGCTAGGTGGTGCAGTGAATAGAGCAGCAGCCCTGAAGTCAGGAGGACCTCAGTTCATATCTAACACTTACTAGCTGTGTGACCCCATGTAAGTCACTCAATCCTGATTGCCTCCAAAAAACAAAAATAAATTTAAAAAAACCCCATGTTATCCACCTCTTGATAGATAGACCCCAAAAGTACCGATCAAGACATTTTTGGGGGCGGGGGGGAGGAGGTATGGAACACGGCCAATTCAGGAATTTTTTTTTTTTGCTTGACTATATATGTTTGTAATGGGTTTTGTTTTCCTTTCTCAATAAGGAAGGGGGACAGGCAGTGAGTGGGGTGGGTGGAGGAGTTGGGAAGGAGAGGTGAATTTTCACCAAAAAAACCCCTTATTTAAAGTGAAAACATAGATTTTTATAATTTGTTTTTATAATGACATTTCCCCTATATCCCTCTCAGAGAGCAATCTTTCATAACAAAAAAGAATTTTTTCAAAAGAGAAAAATAAATTCAGAAAAAAATTAAAACGGACATTATAGGCAATGTTCCACATCAGTGGACTCTCCCACCCCTGTGAAGGAGTGGATGAAGGAAGGTGGTGGTATCTTCTCATATCTCTTCTTTGGATCTAAGTTTGGTGTTTATAATTTTGCAACATTCT